TTTGCACAACCGTAATCCAAATGTTATTGCTTTGGGCTGTAGTTTGGCAATAAACATATGTATCATCATAGAGACATCAACAGGCCAGGTTACAGGTTAGATCTGTGAAAAGGCGATGCTAGTAACAGCATAAAAGCATGTTTTTAAGTGTTTTTTTTTTTTTTTTTGTTTTGTTTTGTTTTTTTTTTAAGTTAAAAGACACGTAATGTAAAAATAGTTGTGTAATAGATGTTTAATGCTATACTGTGTAACATTCCAGGCAAAGCAATAATATCTCCATGGAGACTAGCAGAAACAGACAGACAAACAGAAAAGTTACATAATATATGTTTAACCAAAAAAATTATGTTATTGTGAAAATGAAAATATTGCTAAATGTGTGTTCTAGACATACACATTTTCATCGTCACTATGGTAACGATTGAACATTCCATCCTAAACATACATGCAGAACACCCCCAGCATGACGTCAAGTATCAGGTATCAAGTATCAAGTATCAATAGCTGTGTTTTTAAAGGTGCATTGTGTAACTTTTCTGCTTGTTTCTATGGATATACGTCATTTCTCTGCCTGGAATGTTCCACAGTATGGCATTAAACAGATCTACTTTACATTTATTACATTTAGTAGTTTTACAGCTCAAAAATATCTTGAAAAACAGACATTCGGACTGTGATTTTCCGCAGATCTGACCTGTAACTCCGTGAAGATAGAAAGGTTTAATGCCGTACTGTGAGACATTCCAGACAAAGCAATAACGTCTCCATGAAAAAAGCGTTTGATGGACACTCCACCAGAAAAGTTACACAATGCACCTTTAAACCTGTAGCTTATAAGTGCGTTGTAGTGTTTAAATTCCCTCACATGCACATGAATAGTCCGGTGTGCTGCCCCCTTCAGGCCGGAGCTGGCGCTGCGTCCTGAGTGTTTCTAATGATAACAGTGTTCATTGAAGCTGTATTGAGGCGTTGTGCGGAGGACAAAAGTGTATGGGCCCTCGCTGTTCTGTGATCACAAACAGACGGCGCTTTGTGTGACGGCCAAATGAGCGAAGAGAAGAAGAAGAAGAAAAAAAAGAAAAAACTAGACCGATCTCTCCTTCTTTTTCTCTTTCTATCCCTCTTTCTCTCGCTCCTTTCCTTCTTGCGCCCTTATTAAACTTCCTGCTTCATGCTCCCTCACCTCTCTCTCCTCTCTTTCTCTATCAATTCTGTCTTTCTGTTTCTCCTCTCTTTCTCTCTTGGTCCCCTCTCTCTTCTCCTCTCTCTGTCTCTCCTCTCCTTCTTTCTCAGTCCTCTCTCTCTTTCTCCTCTCTCTCTCTCCTCTTCTCTCTTTCTCTCTGTCATCTCACTTCTCTTCTCTCTCTGTCTCCCCTCTCTTTCTCTCAGTCCTCTGTCTCATTCTCCTCTCTCTCTCTCCTTCTCTCTCTCTCTCTCTTTCTCCTCTCTCTGTGTCTCTCCTCTCTTTCTCTTTCAGTCATCTCTCTCTTTCCCCCCTCTCTCTCTCCTCTGTTTCTCTTCCAGTCCTCTCTCTTTCTCCCCTCTTTCTTCTCTTCTCTCTCTGTCTCTCCTTTTTTCTCTCTTCTGTCCTCTCTCTCTCTCTCTCCTCTCTTTCTCTCTGTCTTTCAGTCCTCTCTCTCTTTCTCCTCTCTCTCTGTCTCTCCTCTCTCTCTCTTTCTTCTCTCCTCTCTCTCTCTTTCTCTCTCTTCTCTCTCTTCTTCTCCTCTTCTTTCTCTCAGTCCTCTGTCTCCTTCTCTCTCTCTCTCTCTTTCTCTTCTCTCTGTGTCTCTCCTCTCTTTCTCTTTCAGTCATCTCTCTCTTTCCCCCCTCTCTCTCTCCTCTGTTTCTCTTCCAGTCCTCTCTCTTTCTCCCCTCTTTCTTCTCTTCTCTCTCTCTCTGTCTCTCTTTTCTCTCTTCTGTCCTCTCTCTCTCTCTCTCCTCTCTTTCTCTCTGTCTTTCAGTCCTCTCTCTCTTTCTCCTCTCTCTCTGTCTCTCCTCTCCTTCTTTCTCATCCTCTCTCTCTCTTTCTCTCTCTCTCTCTCTGTCTCTCCTCTCCTTCTTTCTCAGTCCCTCTCTCTCTTTCTCCTCTCTCTCTCTGTCTCTCCTCTCCTTCTTTCTCAGTCCTCTCTCTCTCTTTCTCCTCTCTCTCACTGTCTCTCCTCTCTTTCTCTCTGTCATCTCACTTCTCTTCTCTCTCTGTCTCTCCTCTCTTTCTCTTTCAGTCCTCTCTCTTTCTCCCCTCTTTCTTCTCTTCTCTCTCTCTCTGTCTCTCCTTTTTTCTCTCTTCTCTCCCCTCTCTCTCTCTCCTCTCTTTCTCTCTGTCTTTCAGTCCTCTCTCTCTTTCTCCTCTCTCTCTGTCTCTCCTCTCATTCTCTCTCCCCTCTCTTCTCCTCTCTCTCTCTCTCTTTCTCCTCTCTCTCCTCTCTTTCTCTTTCAGTCATCTCTCTTTCCCCTCTCTCTTCTCTTCTCTCTCTCTTTCTCCTCTTTTTCTCTCAGTCCTGTCTCTCTCTCTTTTCTCCTCTCTCTCACTCCTCTCTTTCTCTTTCAGTCATCTCTCTCTTTCTCCCCTCTCTCTTCTCTGTTTCTCTTCCAGTCCTCTCTCTCTTTCTCCCCTCTCTCTTCTCTTCTCTCTCTGTCTCTCCTCTTTTTCTCTCTTCTCCTCTCTCTCTCTTTCTCATCTCTGTCTCTCCTCTATTAGTTCTCTCTCTCTCTCACTTATGTTCCTCTCTCTCTCCTTCTTGCCCCTCATCTCTCTCTCTCTCTCTGCTCTTCCTTTACCCCTCCTTCTCTCATCCCTTTTTCTCTTTTCTTACCCCTCATCTCTCCCTCATTCTTTTCCATCTCCTCTCTCTCTCCCTCCATTCCCCCTTTCCCCCCCTCTCTGTCTTTCATTCCCTCTTTTTCTCTTTCTCCCTCGATACAAGCTCCTTCTCGTTCTGGCCTGCTCGCAAATATTTGCTCTCCCCTCTGACCTGTTATTCCCCTCCTCCTCCTCTCCCTCCTTCTCCTCCTCCTCTTCCTCCCTTCTTCGTACACCCCTCCGTTAAGTCCGCTGGATTCTGTCGCTCTCCCACTTGTATCCTTTCGCCTCCCTCTCTCTCCTCCTCTTTCTCTCTCTTCCCTGCTTATAAAAAAAAAACCAAAAACCTTCCTCCCTCCTTCATCCTCTCCCTCATTTCTTCTTCTTCACACAGCCCCCCCCACGTTCTTCACCTCCATTAACTCCACTGGATTCTCCCTCTCTCCGTCTCTCCCTCCGTCGCTCGCTCTCTCTCTTCTCCCTGCTGTTTTAGAACGGTTTTATAAAGTGAAAACTGCTTCCTCCGCTCTTTTTTTGTGCTGATAAAAAGGTAGTTTGTTTTTAAACTAACTGCCGCCCTCAGCAGCTGACATAAACTTCGTACAGTAACTTTTAAGTTTTATCGTTTGTAAATGTGTTTTCTTTTTTTTTTTTTTTTTTCCCTCTTTATCGCGTTTTCCTGTTTGCGCTTTGATTTGATTTTACCGTTTTACCGTTTACGCCAGATGCCCCCTCTAAGGCCTCGGATCTGCACAAGTTGTTCATTTGGACTTTTTATAATGTTGTTTCCGCATCAGAAATATTCACACAAGTCTGAAAACGCTGTTCCACCTTGTGATGTCATGTGGTAGTGCAGGAAGTTAAAGGTTGTATAGAGGATTTTTTTAAGGGAAGAGAAATACAGCGACAGTTCTTTTACAAATGTTGTGCATGCGAGTTTTTAGACCCTTCGTCCGCTTCACTCGCGCAATCGCTGGAAAGAATCTCCAAGAATTACCTCAGTTTGTCTTCGCTCCTTTTCCCCTTCTCTTCTTCTTTCAGCGACCTCAAGAACCGACTTTCTTTTGCGGCGAACTGGTCGTGGATTCTCGTCCGCCATCGCAACAAACTTTGTGAGGAAGTGACAGTTTGAAAAAGCCTCTAAGAACCGCTGCATAAACCACGTGATCCCTGCATCCCGACGAGTCAATTACACTAGAAACGTAGGGAGTTTGATTGATAACCTGACAGCCAATAGGTAAAGAGGCAGCCTTGTTTTCTATTGGCTGATGTTTATCTGGCCTCAACACGTCCACAGTTGATAAATTTTCATTCTTTTTTTTTGGTCATCGTAATTACAAGGCTGCTGCGTCTCTGTAATGGTATTTTAAACTTTCATTGACAATTTGAAACAAAAAAAAAATCCTCCATACAACCTTTAAGGCTCCAGGGTTTTAGAGGTTTAAATCCAGACTCAAAACGGTTCTGTTTAGCTGCGTACGACTGAAACGTTTTCATTTTTCATCCCTGAATTCTTCTCTTTAATTTAATGTCTCGCTTTCTCTTTTTAATTTTACGATTATTTATGTTTTGTTTTGCTTTTATTGTGATTTTAACGTATTTCTTATTCCGTAAAGCACTTTGGAATTACTTTGTGTACGAATTGTGGGATACAAATAAAGTAAATTAATTAAAAAATCTTGCCCCAGGTCCTCAAATTCTTGACGACGGGCCTGCAAAGTGCGTCACTTTGTTTACAAAAATCCATGCACCTTCACTAGAATCTTTTGGATGATTTCAGCTCTGGAATTATCAATCTCTAAAAGGTAAAAAGAGCTGTTAACTTAAAACTTCCACTACATGACATCACAAGGTGGGACAGAGCATTTTGAGACTATTAATAAAGAGTTACTAAAGGTGTGAATGAAACAAAACACAACTCCAGGTCTGTTTTTGAAGAGGTAACAACATTTTAACATGATTTAAAGCTCACAAGAGTCAGTTTTGTGTAATATATGACTTTTAAAGACATTCAAGTATCAGACAAATACGAAATCACTACAAAAATGAACTATGAAGGTGCAAAAAAAGGTGTATTTTTTTTAAGAATCACTGTGTTTTTGCTACTACTACAGCTACTCTTTTATGCGTCTATGTACTTGTATGTTATTATGTAAACATGTGTATAGTAAAACCTTGTGTCCTGTCTGTATTTCCGCAGTTGTTCGTGGGTCTGTCCTTCCCTTACGAGGGTCCGGCGCCCCTGGAGGCCATCGCCAACGGCTGCGCTTTCCTCAACCCCAAGTTCAACCCCCCGAAAAGCAGCAAGAACACCGACTTCTTCAAAGGAAAGCCCACCCTGAGAGAGGTGAGACGTGAACCAACTGCAAAAATAAAATATCCCTTTATACCTTTGTTTGGGAGATTACACTTGACCTTTTGCTAAACCGTGGACATGTTACTGCTTTGTCTGGAATGTTTCACAGTATGGCATTAAACCGTTCTATCTTCACGGGAGACTAAACCAAAAGTTACAGGTCAGATCTGTGGAGAGGCGACGCCACTCACAGTAACAATACATGTATTTCTCTGTTTCATATGTTTTTATTCATGTGCAAACAAATATAGATATGTCATTCAAACAACACATGTGTACACACTTTTTCCATTTTTATGCAGAAAAAACATAACTAACAAAGTTAACTAACAAAAACAAATCACTCAAGAAATAGGTGTAGCGTCATACAATATAATAATAGAATGATTAAAAATACACTACTACTAATATTAATAACAAATAGAAAATAAAATAAATAAATACAATAAAATAATAATTAAGGAAACATTTAATAATAATAATAATAATAATAATAATAATAATAATAATAATAATAATAATAATGATAGTAATAAAGAAGGGGTGGGTAGGTGGTTGGTTTAGACTGTTTTAAATAAGTCAATAAATCAATAAATGACAATACATGTATTTCTTGGTATTTTTGAGCTATAAAACCACCTGTAATTGGATAAATATAAAGTAGAGCTGTTTAATGTCACACTGTGGAATATTCCAGACAAAGCAATGGCATATCCATAGAAACAAGCAGGTGATGGAGCCTCAACCAAAAAGTTACAGAGTGCAGCTTTAATAGTAGTGGATATATCTCCCACTTCTACTTTTAGGTGCAGAGTTGTGTTTTTGGAAGCAGATTAGAAAGTACCAAAAAAAATGTTTAAATATATAGTATAATTAATTAAGTTTTTGTATTCACTTTTATTGTTTTCTTTCACAGTTGACGTCTCAGCACCCGTACGCAGAGGTGTACATCGGGCCCCCTCACGTCTGGACCGTGGACATCGAGAACCCGGGCGAAGTCGAGAGGGCCATCCGCTCCATACTCAACCAAAAGGTCAGGATTTAAACACGAACTGAGGACTTTTCCCCATTCCGAAGACATGTTTTGATCTGTAAGATTAAGGATGAAACCGGGAAAGTGTAAACATCATATCAGTTAATGGTTAATGCCAAAATAAAACGGAAATTACAACTAAAAATGACCTTATTAAACCTAGTGTATCAGTATTTGTAGCATATCTGTAGATTTCAGAGTGTTCTTGTAGCAGGTTTCATACTAGTGTGGAGTTTAGGCTGACAACTAGCATGCTAACTTGCAGTTCCTGATTATCTGACAATAAAACGGTCTGTAATTAAATGCAGACAGCACACAGCGGACTTATTTTGACCTCAAGAGTTGTTTATACGATATATCTGGACTGGAGCAAGACAAAAAAAGGCAGTAAAAATCAAGTACAGCGTGTAATTCATAATTCTGATTTAGTCCTGTTTTAGTCCTGGTTTAATCCTGTTTCAGTCCTGCTTTAGTCCTGTTTTAGTCTGGTTTCAGTCCGGTTTCAGTCCTGTTTTAGTCCTGGTTTAGTCCTGGTTTAGTCCTGATTTAGTCCAGTTTTAGTCCTGTTTCAGTCCTGTTTCCGTCCTGGTTTAGTCCTGGTTTAGCCCTGTTTCAGTCCTGGTTTAGCCCTGTTTCAGTCCTGATTTAGTCCTGCTTTAGTCCTGGTTTAGTTCCGGTTCAGTCCTGTTTCAGTCCTGTTTCACTCCTGGTTCAGTCCTGGTTCAGTCCTGGTTCAGTCCTGTTTCAGTCCTGGTTTAGCCCTGGTTTAGTACTGATTTAGTCCTGCCTTAGTCCTGGTTTAGTTCCGGTTCAGTCCTGTTTCAGTCCTGTTTCAGTCCTGTTTCAGTCCTGGTTCAGTCTTGGTTTAGTCCTGCTTTAGCCCTACTTTAGTCCTGGTTTAGTCCTGATTTAGTCCTGCTTTAGTCCTGGTTTAGTCCTGGTTTAGCACTGCTTTAGTCCTGGTTTAGTCCTGGTTTAGCCCTGGTTTAGCCCTGGTTTAGTCCTGGTTTAGTCCTAGTTTAGTCCTGGTTTAGTCCTGGTTTAGTCCTGCTTTAGTCCTGGTTTAGTCCTGCTTTAGTCCTGGTTTAGCCCTGGTTTAGTCCTGGTTTAGCCCTGGTTTAGCCCTGGTTTAGTCCTGGTTTAGTCCTGGTTTAGTCCTGGTTTAGCCCTGGTTTAGTCCTGGTTTAGCCCTGGTTAGTCCTGGTTTAGCCCTGGTTTAGCCCTGGTTTAGCCCTGTTTAGTCCTGGTTTTAGTCCTGTTTAGTCCTGGTTTAGTCCTGTTTAGTCCTGCTTTAGTCCTGGTTTAGTCCTGCTTTAGTCCTGGTTTAGCCCTGGTTTAGTCCTGGTTTAGTCCTGGTTTAGCCCTGGTTTAGTCCTGGTTTAGCCCTGGTTTAGTCCTGGTTTAGTCCTGGTTTAGCCCTGGTTTAGTCCTGGTTTAGCCCTGGTTTAGCCCTGGTTTAGTCCTGGTTTAGCCCTGGTTTAGTCCTGGTTTAGTCCTGGTTTAGTCCTGGTTTAGTCCTGGTTTAGTCCCGGCCTCGTGTATAGACGATAATAACTTTTCCGTGTTACCAGCGACACAAAGAGACGTGTGTTTTCGCCTGGTCAGATTTCATTAGGCTCCATATTGTTGTGCGCAGATTAAAGTCTAGTGTGGGACCTTGTGTTGCCGTGGCTCAGAACAAAGCCTTTGTTCACCGGACGGGCCTGTGGAGACTCATACGCTCTGGCCGTGTGCCCTCTTTTCTGTCTCCCTCCTCTCCTCTCTCTTTGTTCCCACTCCATCTCCTCCTCCTCTCTACTCTCCATCAACTCCTTTTCCTTCTGCTTATTCCTGCGTTTCTCGCTCTATTGTCACCGCTTTTTTTGCTCTCCCTCCCTCTGTTCTTACTCCATTCTTCTGTCTCTCGCCGTTTCCTCCCTCCTCCTCTTTCTAGTTCCTAAGTTTCTCTCTCTCCCTCCTTCCTTCTCTCCTCCATCTTCCTCTGTCCCTTTCAGTATCTCTCCCCGTTTTTCTCTCCTCCATCCTCTCTTCCCCTCTTCCATCTCTCTCTCCTTCCCTCGTTCCTCTCCTCCATAAGTCCTCCTCCTCCTCAGACTTGAACTTAAACAAAGCGCTTCTTGTCTTCCTCCTTCCCCTCCGTGTGTTTGAAGTCTCTCCGGTCTCAGGTCCTATGGCTCCGGTACAAAGAGCGGCACAACTTGGCTAATATTTCACCAGCTCTTATGTAACGGCTGTATGTACGGAGTCCTCTTTAGTCCTGGTTTAGTCCTGGTTTGATCCCGCTTTGGCCCCAGTTTAGGCCTGATGTTGATTGGTCCTCCTTTAATCCTAGTTATATCGGGTTTTGCACTAGTTAAGTCTTTGTTTAGTCTTGATTGAGTCCTGGTTTAGTCCTGGTTTCAATGTGGCCTTGTACAATGTAATGTAGTCCTGTTTTTGTCCTGTTTTAGTCCTGTTTTTGTCCTGGTTTAGTCCTGGTTTAGTCCTGTTTTAGTCCTGGTTTAGTCCTGTTTTTGTCCTGTTTTTGTCCTGTTTTTGTCCTGTTTTAGTCCTGGTTTAGTCCTGTTTTTGTCCTGGTTTAGTCCTAGTTTAGTCCTAGTTTAGTCCTGGTTTAGTCCTGGTTTAGTCCTGTTTTTGTCCTGTTTTAATCCTGGTTTAGTCCTGTTTTGTCCTGGTTTAGTCCTGGCTTAGTCCTGGCCATGTACAATATAATAAAGTCGTTGTTTAGTCCTGGTTTAAGCCAAGTTTAGTCCTGATGTGGTTGGTTCTGGTTTAGTCCTAGTTTAGATTTGGTTTAGCACTAGATAAGTCTTGGTTTAGTTCTGACTTAGTCCTGGTTTATTCGTAGTTAAGATCTGGTTTTAGTGCTAATTTAGTCCTGATTTATTCCTGGTTTAGCCCTAGTTTTACTCTGGTCCTGGTTTAGATCTGGTTTAGTCCTAGTTTAGTCCTGGTTTAGTCCTAGTTTGACTCTAGTCCTGATTTCCTCCTCGTTAAATTGAATCCAACTTTAGTCTTTCAGTAAATCCTACTTTTGTACATATTCATTACCCCTGACAGTTTTATTTCATAAAATTTTTTAAGGTTCTACATTTTGTCCATTTTTGTCTCGTTCAGATTGAGCCCTACCTGCCGTACGAGTTCACCTGTGAGGGGATGCTGCAGAGGGTCAACGCCTTCATCGAAAACCAGGTATTACTTTAGATTTAATCCGTTTTTATTCAGTAAGAGTCCAGTCACTCCCAAAACCTTCAGACCACTCACACCACACACTTTTGTTTCTGTTATTGTGCGCCGCGTTTTTAACAATCCCCAATGCGATATTTGATTAACAACAAAAAAAAGTGACTCTATTGATGGTTCTACATGTATGTCTATGGTGGAATGTTCAGCAGAAAGTTTAAGACGGTCTGAAAACTCAAAGAAAAATTACAAAATCGGTTTAAACAGCACATTTTCAGGAGCGTAGTTGTAGTTGCAGCTAAATCATTTCTTTATGGTCAGATTGTGTTAGAATAAACCTCAGATTAAAGGTTATTTTGAGTTACAGAACTTCAGGCATCACACCCTCGGGGAACTTTAATGACATCTGCTGCAAAGTATCAATAGTATCAGACCCTAAGCCGTAATAATATTTATATAATGCACTTGTACTTGTATTTGTGTAGGACTTCTGTCACGGTCAGGTGATGTGGCCTCCTCTGGGCGCGCTCCAGGTCAAAATGGCCGACCCCGGGCGCTCGTGTAAACAGGTGTGTCAGGAGGAGCAGCTCATCTGTGAACCGTCCTTCTTCCAACACCTCAACAAGGACAAAGACCTCGCCAGGTTAGTCCCTTTTAAAGCTTTAAACCGTGTTCTAATGTTGTTGCCTCCTCAAAAACAGACCTGGAGTTGGTACGATATTATCACGATATGCATCTCACGGTACGATATTTACTGCGATATTTTGGAGAGACTGATATAATTGTAGATACGATGCTTTTTTGGCTTTTAAAATACCCTGACAAGATTTTCGTGTGAATTATTTTCATCATAATCCCAATAATTCAAGTCAAAAACATATTTCTTCATGTTGTCTGCGCTGAAATGCATCATGGGATATGTAGTTTCCTATGTTTATAAGCTGTTCCTACTATAAAACCATGGATTTAACCAAAGGGACTTGTGATTCGATATATTGCGACAGCCCACGATATTATTGCGAGACTGTTGACGATACGATATCACGATATTTTGGTCATTCACACATGTTTGAGTAAGCCTTTATTATTAGTCTGTGCACATCTGTTCCACCTTGTGATGTCATGTAGTGGTGGTTTTCAAGCCAACACTCACCTTTTAGCTTTTGTTTGTCAATTCCAGAGCTGAAATCATCCAAACGATTCTAAAATGAAGGTGTATGGGGATTAAAAACACAATAACAACACAAAAACACAATATAACTACATATCCGATGATTCATTTCAGTGCAGATAACATGAAGATTTTTATGAAGTTTTTACCTTAATTCTTCAGATTATGCCAGAAATCATTTGCACCAAAGTCTTGTCAAGGTCTTTTAAAAGCAATTCTAAAATACAATTCTATTAGTTTCTCCATGTAATGACAGGATTTCATGTTTTTCTAAGTATGACTTGTTTTAATTGTCGTTAATATTTATCATAGTTAGATTAAGAGGAAAATGTAGAAGAAAGAACAAAAAAGTACAAAAATACAGGAAACAGCTCTGAGTTTTAAAACAGAATCCCTACATTGACATTTTCATCCAAAAAGCAGAGACAATTTAACAGTTAAAACATTTATTTAAGAAGATTAAGGTGTTGTAATTTGTATTTTTATTAGTATAATTATAGTAAATATTACAGCATAGTGTAATTTAATTTAATCTAATTAGTGTAATCATATCTCTCGTGTAATTTAGACAGGTTTTTTAATATTACGGTTGCTAGGTGACAGTTACAGAGTCTGGAGTCTAAACAGGAAGCACAATTATGAAATCAAAATATTACGTTAGTCGGTTTAAGTGTTATCAGAAAGGTCGGAGGAGGCTGCGTGAATCTCTGTGACCAGTAGGTGGCGCTTTAAATCCGACTTGAGTTACTGCCTTTTAACACACACATCATGCGGCGTGCAGTGGACCACAGAGAAACGGTTATGGCCACCAGGGGGCAGTGTTTGTGCACTAAAATTAATGGTGTGGCACAATCTACCAAGGATACAGATATTTGTCTCCATCTGTTAGTGCCGTGCGTGGGTGTTTTTCTGCGTGGGTGTTTTTATTTAAAGGTGCACTGTGTAACTTTTTAACCTGCTTGTCTCCATGGAGATGTTATTGCTTTGCCTGAATGTTCCACAGCGTGATATTTAACCAGCCTGTCTTGTATTTATTTGATTAATTAGAGGTGTTGTTTGTTGAGTGCGAAATTAGATGCTTTGAAAAACATGCATCCTCACTGTGCGTGGGCTCGCTTCTCCACAGACCTGACCTGTAACTTGGCCAGGTGGGAGAAAAGTTACATAGTGCGCCTTAAATCCGGGAAGTCAGATTTCTTAACAAAGATTCAAAAACATTACTTCATCATCATAAATTATAATTACAGCATCAATAGTTTGCGCTCTGGATCCATCAAATGTTGTTGCTTTGTCTGGAATGTTTCACAGTATGGCTTTAAACATTTCTGTCTTCATGGAGACCAAACCAGACCGAGTTACGGGTCAGATCTGTGGAGAGGCGACCCCCATCAGAGTCAGAATACTTGTTTTTTTGTATTTTTGAGCTATAAAACCAGCTTTAATTGTATAACCGTAAAGTAAAATTGTATAATGTCATACTGTGGAACATTCCAGGCAGACATGATATATCTGGGTCCACTCAAGTCGTAACGGAGGGAAACCGGGGTAGATTTTTTACATTCAAATGTCTCTTATTCAGAAACTAGAGGGACTATTGAAATAAGTAAAGTATTAGAATGCAGGAAAGAGTTACACTCCAACAGGGTCAAGTTAAACCTGTCATATTCTTTCAAGTTGTTGACAAAAAAATTAAAAACTCATGTCGGTAACGGAGGGAATGAAATATGCAGCACTTTTTGGGCAATAAATCCAAACAGTGATAACTCTTGGTTCTCACTTACATATCCTTAACAAACTGGTTTGAATATTTGCTTCATATAATTTTCTACCATATGGTACAAGATTAGGTTGAAAAACCTCTTACTTTTTGAGTAATGAGATTTTTTATTAAAAATGGTCATGGTAACGGAGGGAAAAGTAACGGAGGGAAAATTGTGCAAACAAGTAGAAGGGGCAGGATTTAGCATAATTTGTCGCTTTTTTCAGTCAGTCCTTCCAAGCTAATTTTTATCATTTTAAATACTTTTTTTTTTTTTTAAATCATGTACCTTCATCAACAGTTCAAAGATCGAATAACACAAGATATGATGAATCCGTGTATCATTCGTTCATTCGTTTTTCAATATAAAACGAAAAAACAACAGTTTTCTTCGTTATTTGTCTCCAAAACCAAAATGAAAAAACAGATAACGATTTGTTTTTTCAGTTTTCGATTTTGTGTTTAAATGAAGAATGGAAAAAACGGATAACGGCCGTTTCCCGTTTACGTGACTTCCGTGACTGCGATGCCGGACTTTTGCACCGCATACGGACTGAACCAGGACTGATCCAGGTCCGAGACCAGACCGAGACCAGAGCAGGACTGAGACCGGGACCAGACCGGGACCAGAGCGGGACTGAGACCGGGACCACACAGGGACCAGAGCGGGACTGAGACCGGGACCACACAGGGACCAGAGCGGGACTGAGACCGGGACCAGAGCGGGACTGAGACCGGGACCAGAGCGGGACTGAGACCGGGACCAGAGCGGGACTGAGACCGGGACCAGACCGGGACCAGGGCAGACTCCGAGCTTTGACTCCGAGCCTCCACGGGGTCCGAGCCTCAGCTTCGAGCTCCGGTCCTGCCGTGGGCTCTGAGCCTCCGGTCTGGTCCCGGTCTGGTCCTGGTCTTGTCTCGGTCTCGGTCTCAGGCCCGCTCTGGTCCCGGTCTGGTCCCGGTCTGGTCCCGGTCTCACCGCATACGGACTGAATCAGGATGGATCCAGGTCCGAGACCAGACCGAGACCAGAGCAGGACTGAGACCGGGACAGAGCTGCTCTGGTCCTCCGCGCTCAAGAACCGCGGCTGGTTCCGAGGTGGTGCAAAGCCTCCGACTGACGCATTCACACCAATGAAAATGAATCAAACTAAGAGCTTTTGGTTCAAATGGACCAGGTCCGGGACCAGACCGGGACCAGAGCGCTACTGAGACTCAGTCCCGCTCTGGACCAGGTCCGGGACCAGACCGGGACCAGAGCGCTACTGAGACTCAGTCCCGCTCTGGTCCCGGTCTGGTCCCGGTCTCAGTCTCGGTCTGGTCTCGGTCTGGTCTCGGACCTGGATCAGTCCCGGTTCAGTTCGTATGCGGTGCAAAAGTCCGGCATCGCAGTCACGGAAGTCACGTAAACGGGAAACGGCCGTTATCCGTTTTTTCCATTCTTCATTTAAACACAAAATCGAAAACTGAAAAAACGAATCGTTATCTGTTTTTTCATTTTGGTTTTGGAGACAAATAACGAAGAAAACTGTTGTTTTTTCGTTTTCTTATTTTTGGTTTTATATTGAAAAACAAATGAACGAAAGATACACGGATTATGATGAAATACATCCATTTATTGACATGATTTGCAGGTCTGTGAAATTTGGGAACTAATTTTGGTTCCATGTTTCATACATGGTCTGTTTAAAACGTATGTAACTTTAGAACCAAAAATGATGCAGAAAAAAGGTCAACAGTTTCATAAACTAGAGTACATATGTATCTGTTGAATACATTTTTATATCAGATGCATTAACTTGAATTTTTGGCCTCGCTGTTTACTTCTGCTTGACCGGGCCCATGTGAAAAACCGAGCCATTTGTACTGGTCGTCAAATCACGTCTTTAGTGATACAGCAGAGGCGTCAAAAGACGTCATTAAGGAAACAAGGAAGGGTCGTCAAATGTCGTCTTCATGGGGGAAAGAGTTAAACTAAATATTCAACAAACTACAAAAACTTAAATGTACTAGTTTAGGTCCACAAAAACATTTTTGCTCGACTAAAGATGTGTCCTCACAATCAATTAGCCAATTAAAAAGGGGCGTGGCCACAACATTCAAAACTATTATGATCTGATCATGTATATGACCCTGCATGAAAGTTAAAAAAAACAACAACTATTAAGCAGATCTAAACTCATGATTCTCTCCCAAATAAAATGACAAGTGACAAATAAAAGTGTTGGCCAACTAAGGACACCACTGACCGATCGATGGACTAAAGGATTACAAGCCACATACATGTATTTATCAAAGCATATGTCAAAAATCTTAAATCAAAATGTGGAAAAGGGAATGTGTTTGAAAATATATCCTGCAAATGACATCTGTCTGTTTACTCATATTATTACTATTACAATTACTACAGTTTAGAAAGACAAATACAACATGAAGTTTTTTTTTGTTATGGTTTTATTGTTCAAGTGCAGAACAGTGAGGGGGGTGAGAGAGGCTCTACATGCACAGGAGCCTCCTGTACCACCTCCTCTTTTTCTTCTTCCGTTCCATCTCCAGCTCCTGCTCCAGCACCGTGCTCACCTCCTCCAGCAGGGAGCACTGTCTTTCTGTGCTCCTCTGCTTTTCCTCCAAGGCGCTGAATCTTTGGAGCAGTAGGGAGAGCTCTGTGTTCAGCTTCTCACGGGTGTTTACGAGAGCTGTTTTCTCTTCCTCT